AACTCACGGTCCTTGCGATAGGGCGAGATAAACGAGGTGATGGCGATGGTGTTGCTGTCCGCGAACAGTTTCGCAACTCCGCGATGCGCCGGATGTTCTCATTGCGGTCCGCCTCGCTGAAGCCGAGGTCCTTGTTGAGGCCGAAGCGGATGTTGTCGCCGTCCAGTCGGTAGGCGGCGACATTGTACTGGGTTAGGAGCTGGTGTTCAAGCTCGACGGCGATGGTAGATTTGCCGGAGGCGGAGAGGCCGGTGAGCCAGATTGTGAGGCCTTGTTGTCTGCAGAGGGCGATGCGCTCGGCGCGAGTTAGGTGTGGGGGGTGGTATGTTATGTTGCTGTTTGGTTGGGATTAGATGGGTTGATGGCAGGGTTAAAACCCATCAAATGTCTGGAATCATACGTCGCCATGTTGGTGATACTGAGTTTGATCAGTATGGGAAATTATTTGTTGGTCAATTGAGGGTTGAGGTCGTCGGTAGGGGTTTTCTTCTGTAAGCGGGCTCGCGAGCAATCGGCGGGGTGGCGGGGTAGCAAGTTGAAGATCGGCCTGAAAATTTGAATCCGAGAGGAGAAAGGGAGTATGGACAGTAATGGGAAGGTGTCCGTAGCTATAATATATGTGATTTCAGAAGAATAAATCTCCTTGAAGAGAAATGAAAAGCGCCGTTGAAATGACGTGATTTCTGGGGAGAAAAGGTGATGGCTTGGCGTCGGACGAACTTTATCCCAACATCAATACCACCAACTCCAACATCAACATCAATAGGATATTACAGCAGCCAATTGATGAGTGCAAACAACAAGAAGATGGGAAGGGATGGTGAGGCAAGTGTAGTGATAGTTAGCTTTTTATTTCCTTTGTGTTCTTTGTTGACATGCTAATTGATTCGTTAAATATCAGGGGCAGCTTTGGTTCTTGGGAACGATGGGGACAAATGCCGACAGCCAGGATTGAAAGAAGGACCCCAATCCCCAAGAAGCTTTTCAACGCCATACTGTAGCCGTCTATTCTAAGTCGGATATGTGTTCTGTTACCAATTGCTAGTCATGCTGGGGATTTCAATGTCTTTTAGGGCCGGCCGGCTGTTGCTCTCCTGCCCTGGGCGTGGTCACTTCCCAAACGATGCATTGAAGGGCTACCATTTTTAATCTGAACGCCAAATGGTATGGGATCCAGCAGACGTTATGGCCTTACTTGATGTTAACATTCTACCCATTTTGTATTGGGTTTTTTTCTCTGAATCACGCGGCGTATTCGACTTTCAATGCGAAACCTCTCGCAGCAGCTGTCTGTGAATGAGATTCTGGAGTATACCGTGGCCTCCTTATCAAAAATATGGCATGTGAACGCTGCAAACACATTCGCTTTTTGAGATATTATTTGACATTCAAACCTGCAATATTCATGCCTTTTTCTGACCTGTGCACTGCAGTTTCTCAGCATCCTGGTTCTTATAGCTGCGATTATACAAGTTATCTTTCACATGGCCACTAATCCTCTGCGGATATTCACATATAATGTAGTAGATTCTTGTCTATTTCTACTATACACATACAACTGCTTTTTTTTCTTTATATACTTTTTCCTTTCACTTACCTAGTGTGGCGAGGCTTAGATATTTTCTTCCCCAGGCCTCACGAGCACACCCAGAGTCCAGAATTTATCACTCGGCAACTTCAAACCCTTGCCTCCATTTTATAAGGAGCCATGCTGTTGTTGACTTCTGTTGTGTTTACCCTATTTCTTTCTTCTAAATTTCTTGCACTCTGCAGTGTTTTCAGTTCAGCACACTGTTCTTTTTCCAACTTCCTTTCTGAAAAGAAGACCACTATTCTCTCTACCCATGTCTTTTCATTTTATTTTCATACCCATGTAGTTGCTCCTAATAATGCGGAGATGTCGTCTCTAACGCTCGAAGCTGCATGTGAGCGCTTCACGTCGGTAATCAGAAATAGTGTGTGGGATCAACTCCTGGATAAGTGTCTTGGGAGAGGTATGCGTCTCCCAACGTCTTCATTTAATAGTATCGTGATGAACCGCTTACTCTATCCACGTGCAGGCCTTGCGGACAGGTTGCACATAACGCGACTTGAGAAAGCGCATGAGCTTTCAGCTAGGGCGTGGGAAACGGCTATAGCGGAGATGGGCACTTCAGCATCCAGTATTAATGATGATCCGCAGTCATCAAACGTGCCGACGCGACGCAGCCACAGGAAAATTTGCACGTCTGCTGAGGAAGAATGGGATATGTTTATTGGAGAGCTAGAGGAGAATAGGTCGCTTAACGATAGGCCGTCAGACGATGAAGAGGAAGAAGTGGAAGGGGGAAATAGAACTGGGAAACTGGGTGACGGTGACAGGGATGGTGAGTAAATAACACACCCTGGCTGACGTCCCATAGGCACAAATTCGGATACTGATACCAATTTAAGATGGCAATAAGAAAGCAACTAGACAAAAAGGTTTGCATCTACCCCAACATTGTCACGACCAAATCCCTAAGCAGTCCTGGTATTTCATAGGTCGCTCTGGCGCCTCCTATCCGATGGCAGGAATCGGCCGGTATCATCACGCAAAAGACGCCCAAAAAGAATGGACGGAAGAACTTATTCTTCACAAGTTATCGTTCATAACTCCGTTCGTCAAATCGAATGTTGACAGATTAGCAGGCTATCCTGGGTGGCACAGTTTATATTCAACACCTGGAAATGATCGATTGGCAGAAAAGAAACCAAAATCATGCAGTGGGTTTATCATGAAGAAGACAGAAGGTATTCCTGCGAGAGGATTCTCCAATTTGAGCACTGTAAAGTCTTCTCTGAGCTTCGCAGTTGATGTATATAAGACCACTGGTTATGAGCTGCCACTGTCACCTTCCTTGATTGAAAGCGAAGAGCCATGCGTTCCTGGACCTGCTCGGCCCCCGATCCGGAAGTTACCAGTTTTTTTCATGGAGGATGATGATAATGCTGAATGTGCTGTCGAGTCTTGCGATCCGTTTTCTCTAGAAGAAAGGACAAATTTCCAGGACTTGGTTCCCGACAACGACTTGGAACAATCAAAAGTTGTTTCGAAGGGCAAAGAAAAACAGGTTGACATCTCACAATACAGTGAGGATGTTGATGTGCCACCTTCATTCCTTTTGACACATGAGAAGGAGGATCGCAGAGACCGAATACCAACTTGGCAAAGGTCAATTTGCACGATCGTCAAGCAGCCCAAGCCCGTCAAATTCGATTTGAAAAAGGCGATAAGACTAAGGCCCTGGAAGGTGCACTGGAAAATACGCCGCTATTTTGAAGCTATAGAAGCGAAGAAAAAAGATACACCGGGGGACCAAATTGTGGCAGCAACATATGCTGCGACTCGCCGTCGCGAGCAGTATGACGCATGGGATTAAACGGGTGGATTGCCGTAGTCGACCACGGCTTGGTTGCCAAGCTGAACGTGAATTCCCAAAGAAGTCAACAGCAACTGACCAACCCGAATCTCATGACACACAGAATATATCCATTAACACGGAGTCACTTTTACTCCCATGTTCCTCAACAAACCCTTTTGATCAGCTAACGCGGCGAGCAGGCTTACGACCCGCTTCTAAGGCTCTCTTCCCCATCTTCAAGCCACTCCTCCCGCACACGACCCTGCCGGAAACAATGGAGGAAACCCGGGAGAAAATAGCCCGCGGCCTAACAACTCTGAGGTCCTTCTTGGATGGCAAAAGCTCCACGCCCCCAATATCCACTCTCCGTATACAAGCCAAGGAGCTCGAGACCACGCATGTAAAAATGTACCGGAGGGAAGTTCTCGGTCTCTCCGCACTCACAGGATGTCACCCTCAACTTACAACTGGCGCCTGGGCGGGATATTACAAAAAGAGAGACGAGGAGGACATGTTGCGCAGGCAGGGTCTTGTAGTAGAAGAAGAAGAAGTAGAGGAAGAAGAGGAAGAAGCAGAAGTAATCGAAGATCCAGCAGACGAAGGTGACGAAAATTGCGACGTTCAGCAACTCATGAAGAAGAAACTTGACAGGCAGAAGAAATACACATGGCCACAACCGCCTATGTACGCAGATTATATGGAAACAAAGCTGGATCAGCCGCTTATCCAGCTCATTCCCGAACCGCTCGAATTGCTAGACACTATTGATCCCGTAGTACCCACTGGCATAGATGCGGAGTACGGCAGAACTGTGCATCCCATAAGGATAAAAGACGCTGAGGAGGCTTTGGATATGGAACACTATGCTACTTTTGCGGCAGGTGAGTTTTTGGCTGAGATGTATCAGGAGCCCATTGAAGGATTGAAGCATTGGACGATCCGAGAGGCTTTTACGTTTGCTGAGGATAACGAAACTTGAAAAAAAAAAGGGATATGCATAATTCGGAGTTGAGGATAAATGGTTTCTTATTGGAAACTTCTTTCTTCTCTCTTACCTTTCGTTTTCCTTTCTTCATCTTTTGACCTCTCTTTTGGTCCTCTTGAGAAGGTGTCCACTTCTCCCGATTTTTGACATTGAGTTCAGTTTGTTTCCCCTTTCTTTCGCCCTTTCTCCAGATATTTCTGATATGCATTCTGATGAATGCCTTAAACCTCTCCGGCATTTTCCGCTTAATTCTTGACATATTTGCAAGTATGTCCTGCTTTTTTTTTTCACCACTCTTTTCTCCGGCTTTCTGTGTTTCATGTCCGCTATGCGTGAAATTATATTATGCTTTGGGATACCACCTTCGATTTGTGATAGTGGACTCTCGCCTTGCACAGTAATCTCGCACAGTAATATTTTCTATTCCTTTTCGTTTCCGGTATGCTGTGATTGAGTCTTCTAGTGTCACAGTTTACACGTTTTTGATTTGTTTGGGGATACCTACCTCTAATAACAAACAAATTTAATCTTAATTTTGTGATTAAGTGGACCATCGTGCCTCTAGACGTGAGGGATATCCAAAAAATGATTAAATCACACCAATGTCATCCAGTGAGGCCCGCTTCTATAAACTATTATCCGCACATGAAAACGCACTTCCAAAATTCCCTTCTTGGTATTTAAGAAGGACGCTTTCAACAGAAGCCTGGGTTTTTCAAAAGTATTAGCATCATCTGCGCAAATTCATAAGCATTAAAAAAAGAAGAAACAATTCACAACAGTTAGCGACCTACGTAAGTTCCAGGACCTAGAAAGTAGAACCCCATCCCAATGATAGCGAGGTTGAGAATGATTCCTAGCCACCCACGCCACCCACGCTTTCGGTAGAAGTCTGAACCATAATCCACTCCCCGCATGCGTATATACGCAATGCCCCAGAATACAAAGCCGAAAAAAGAATCGAAAAGCGAGCTCATGATGGAAAGCAGGTCAGAGAAAAATGGAATAATCTCAGCAATCATGAAAGCGACGGCCCAGGTTGCCGCCAGAATAGCTCCCCAAGACAGCCACCCAACAACCGTGTGATTCCCCTTGTGATGGGTTCCGTCGAACAAACGGAAAAATATGAACCTGGCAGAAATAGAAGCATACAGCACGCCGAGGAAAATCAATGTTGGAACCATAAACGAGAACGAGATCTTTTTATGGACGCTGTTGCTCAGTGAGTCGAACGCTGGTGATGTCATGTATTGATTTCCAGTGTACGCGTAGATGACGGAGCCAACGATGCTGAATACGATTACCTCTGCGATGGTAACAACATATAGAGACTTGTTGAACTCCTTGGGGTTCTTCATCTCTGCGATGAAGCTGGGGAGAGTGACCTGGCCAATGAACGTATAGATGATGTTCAAGAACGCTCCCATAGCGGCAATGAAGGTCGTCCCTGCAGCCGGCCAAAGGAGTACAACAGGCTCCCCTCCCCCGGCCCCTTCCCCACTGTCCGGGTCCGGAGTAAACCGCGCCGGATGTGGTTGGATAGCAGCAAAAATCGTTGCTAGCGCTACCGAAATGAATGTAAAGAACGCAGATAGACTCGCGAGTTTTGATAGGGTGTTGAAAGTTCTAGGAAGAGAACAAATGAATGAAATGATGGTGGTTATTGCTACGAATATTATGGTACAAGCGCCGTGGTTGGTCATCACATTGAGATATTTCGCGCCCACCAAGCAATGCAATCCCTGATATTTATATGGTTAATTAGTTGGGAAAATTTTACCCTACCCTGTGGTAATCACTCACAAAGGTGGTGTGGAAATGTGGAAAGTACGTACAGTACATACCTGAATGAAAGTATTATTGAGCAAAAACATTGCCGCCGTAAGGTACCATGCAAGCTGGGAATCGTAAAAGAGGTGCTGCCCAATATCACAAACGTCTCCAACTTCGGGATGACGGAGACAAAATTCCCTGGTTATGGTGCTAACAGTTATTACTTTGAATATTGCGCCTTCTGTAGGGCTCCTATTTCAGCTCACCAGATGATCAAGGAGGTGTATAGAACTACCGCAGCCACCAAAATCGTCAAAACCAAACCAGGTACAAGACCGAGAACGGAATAAGAGTATGGGAATGACATGACGGCTAGGCAGATGTATTCTGAGAAGAGCAACGCTGAAGTCTGTACAACGTTAGCTGTCAACATCCATTTTTCCTGGGAGTTTTAACTTGGGAAGTATTTTGTTTCCCCTTGTGACTTTAGAGGAGGATGACGACAATGATTAATCTGTTCCATCTGTTCCAGAGTAATATCACCCTCGACCCTGGACAGCTCATAGACATCTTTAATCCAAAGAGGCTTTACCTTTTGCCAGCTGCAAGTCCGATACTTGATAGAATTACCATCCTCCGAGTCCAACTGCTTGGAGGCAACGTCTCTTGACGCAGACGAGGTAGAGGTAGCCGTCTCATCATGTCTATTCCTTCTCCGCGACCGCTTCGTGTTGATTATCTGAGCGCGATCGTTATTGCCACCATCGACATCGTCGTTGAAACCCGTTAGGTTATCATCTTTGAGCAAGGGCGTGGTTACACCTGATTCTAGATCTGACGCCGTTGCGACGAGAATAGACCCCCCTCGAGGCGGAAAGCCGAGGGGAGATAGAAAAATAGTTTGATCATACGGATGGCTCGCATGAGAAAGTATGGTTTTTGCTATGGGTGAACACGGCAGTCAGCTAATTCATACGGATCGTGTTACAGATTAGTGTAGAGTGGTGCCCGCAAGGGTTTCGGGTTTAATTCTAGATGAGAGCGCAAAGGAAGACAGAGGATAATAGAAGGATGCTCTCCACATATTCCTCCTACATGCCAGGCATAAAAAAGAGAGGTTTAGTGCAGCTGACCGAGCCCGCAGCCAGTTGGATGCTGTGAAACCTGTTAGTGACCAAATCCGCCCGCCATCAGTTAGATTTTATCCCACTAACAACCCTGAATCCTACACAAGGTTTCCAGCCATCCGTGTGGAGGATCAGATCTTAGCCATTTCCAACAAACGATACCTTAGACTCGAGAGAGAAGGGCTTGACTACAGCCCAGAAAAAAGGCACAGCGCTATATAGTTGTAACTATTTCATACATAACTATCCAAGCTACTGTTGAGCATGTCAATTAGTTATATTGCATCTGGCCCTATTCATTCTGTAAGAGGTAAAATTTACATTGGCATTCCTTCGAAGGAAAACCGTGCTTGAGCATTGGACGAATAAAGCATATCATAATTAATAATATCGCAACAGAAACTTTAAAATGAAAAAATCCAGAACGTTTAGAAAAAATTATCCAGAACTCATTCCACTGCCATACCAATCTGCGCATCACTTCCTTCTCCCACGGTGAGCCCGTATTGGCTTCGCATATTATTCACCCAGTCTGTAATGGTAATAACATTCTCACCTACTTTCACATGTCCGTTAGGTATCCTACTGGCTTCCTCATCATTCCATCTTGGCACATGCAAGAACTCGTGCGATTTCTCGCAAACTACTGATCTCCTGGAACAGATATCTCGCAAGGTACCCGCCTGCAACTTGTCAAAGCAATATTTGCATAAGTGCACTTTCAAACAATCCTTACACACATATATGTCATTAGCAAAGGTCCAGGTTCGGTCGCAGTAGCGGTTACCATCACATCTGATGTACAGCGTTCCTACGCGGGATTCGAAGGAGGGAGATGGAGACGGCACTCGAGACATCGAATCTTCATCGGATGCGGACAATTGGTTGTTATTTTCAGCATCGGAGAGAATACCAGGTTCCTCCCCCAAATAATGTGGTTCCCTGGTATCTGTTTCTTCACATCCTTCATCTTCCCCAGCTGAAATGATATTATTATCCGCCATTCCACTACGAACATCCAATGGGGTGTGCTCTTCGGGACCTGAATGAGGGTTGATTTCGTCTGCTGCATCCTGTTCAGGTATCTCATCAGCCTGACCTCGAATTGCTGTTTGTTGACCCTGGTCCTCGGTTTCTTCCACTAGAGGGCACAATAATGACCACGCAGCTAACGAATTGACATCATCGACAAAGTGGAGGGAGGTTGCTAGTACGTAATATCCGTCCGAATCGTTGGCAAGGTCTTCATCAGAAAGAAGATCGAGGCCGAATTTCACGAACCATTTGACAGCCTCTAAAGCATTATCTCGCTTTCCCATCAAGAAATACAACCTTGCTAGAATAAGCCGTCCAAAGTTTGTGTGGCATTTCTCTGGCAGCAGTTCACAAAGGCGTAGGAGCTGGGCAATGTAGTGTTCGGCGAGAGGCCCATCAAAGGCTTCATCCTTAGCCCTTTCAAGATAGATAGATGCTAGATAATCGATGGTTGGACTGTCGAGAGTGCCCAAAAAATCTTCCTTTGAAGTTGAGGCTAGTCCGACATTTTCTTCCCAGACAGAGATCGCCTCTTTGCGATCGTCATCTGACTCGGGGAACTTATACAATGCGATACCATACCAACGACGGATGAAGATTAGAATTCTCTTGTTTGGGTAATTTTTGGCTGCATCTATGGAAAGTCGGTATATTTCCTTCAGTACTCCCCACTGATTTGAATGTTTGCCGGCATCGATAACATTTTGGTGGTACACATGATCGTGAGCAAATTCATGCACCATGGCGACTAGACGGTTCAGTCCCTCAGGATTCGTCTGGTGTTGCATATTCTTGAGGAGAGCTATAATATCCGAATATTTCTCCTCTTTATACATTGTGTCAATCATGCTGCAAACACTCCAATAGTTGTCAGGTTGGTAGTTGCTTATTTCTGCAAAAGCAGCCATCGAGGCATCGTATTCGTTAACGCAGCAACTCCATTGCCCCTGTGAGCGGAGCACTTCCGTGCAGAAAAAATCTCTTCTCTCTTCCAGAAGGGTTTGGTCCTCTCGGAACGCCTCAATTACTGAAGACAATACTTGCAGCGCTTTTTTAGGCTCGTTGATTTGGGCATATGCCCTAGCAAGACAGAATTGAGGTTCCCAGCTGTCAGGTTCATCCTCACAAGAAGACAGGCTGAGCTCAACAGCTTTTTTGCCCAATCTGAAATCAACGAACGTGAATGCCATTTGCAGTTTCCAATACTTGTCTTTTTCTGTGACATTTAACTCAGACTCTGCCCAACTTTCCAACTCCAAAATCTGTTCCTCGGTCGGGTACGGAGTCCGAGCCGTGCGTTCTGAACCGTCAATCCTAGATTTTATCTAAAAGCGATGTTAATCCAAGTTTACTAATGACGGCAGCGGGTCCTTTACATACTTTATTGACGTAGCCTAAAAGCCACAAGACCGATTTTGCCAGACCCCAGTTTAAGTACCTTAACCAACGCTTTGCCATTATTTTCGCTGTTGGTCTAAGGAGATCATCATCCGGCTTTGAATTCGACGTTAAGCCATTAAGCCATTCTTTTTCCGCTTCCGAAAGGCCTTTAACAACAGCAGAGTCCTTAAACCATTTCATTGTGGTCATAATATTAGCATCTTCATAGGTCCACATTTCATACATCCACATTCGTTCTGGTGTCCACCATGCATTGATGCACTCTTCGTCGGAAAAAAGTTTGATAAGACGAGACCCGATATAGCTTTTTGGTTCGGGGGCTATTAGATCTAGATCAACATCATCAAGGTGATATACAAGGAAATAGGAAGCATAATTCACCAGACAGGCCGTCTGGTCGCTGGGTTCACCACAAATGGCGTCGAGACAGTAAGTGACAATATCAACTTTGGCGCGGTCAAAATTGACATTTATACAAGCCGACTTGTTACTCAACTTGCGTTTAAAGAATTCTTCGAATCCAAATTTGTTGAACAATTCCTCATCGCAAACATTCCGCAAGAATCGCGTAATAATTGCAACCTCGGCTTCATGGAGGGCGGCACCACGCCGCCCTGGTGTGAGTTCCTTTGCAGCAAATGTTTCATTACGGAAAAAGTCAATGATAGCATCCGACGTGATCGAAACCGTGCCATCTGACGCAATCTCCAGGAAAGCAGAATATTTGTCTTGTATCTGCTCTCGTAGGGGCACAAGTGAACCTTCGCCGTTCTTGACAAGAAGAACAGCCTCGAGTAATTCGAGGGTTGGGGCCTTGATGGAGGTAATAACAAACCCTAGGAGGTCGTTAAGTTCCTGGATGTCCTCTTCACCAAGTGTCTTGTTCAGTCGATCAATTTCACGAGCGATTGTGTCCAGTCGGTCTTCATCGGCATGCTCCAAGACTTCTTCAATTTCTTTTCGTCTTCTCTTCTTACTAATCTCGGTGAGCATGAAATTTAACTTGAAAAAGTCACCTCCAACGCCGCCTGTAAGCTTGACCCGAATGCAACTTCTCAGTTCTTGAATATCCGGGTGGTTTGATCTTTTTAGAATTTCCATGTGATCCATTCGGGCATCGATATATTTGACAATATCATCCTCGTTTCTAATTCCCAAGGTAATAGACGACAACGCTATTTTTGGGTCATTCCGAATTTCCATGAAGGCTCTTGGTCTACCGGTCAACAGCAATCGGATACTCAGTGGCCGTTTCTCTCGAAATATTAATGAGATATCTCGAATAATTTCTATAAGCGGATGGCCGGAGCTCATTTCAGCTTCATCGATGCCATCAAGGACAATAAAAAATGTAGCTTCAGTTTTTGTTGAGAATTGAAAAACTAATTGCTTCCATAATTCTAAAGAATTTCCGAATTCTTCTGGTTTATTACAAGCAGCAGCAACCCACTTTCGGTAAACCACGTCATTGTCAGTAAGCTGCCATACTATAGCCCGTAATGCTTTGTTAACTGACTTCTCGTCCTTATTTTCCTTTTGGAAGAAGTAATAAGCAATTGAAGTTCGAGAGTCCTGATGTGCAGGAGGATGCAGGTGAAACAGATGGCGAATGACCATGGAGCAAAGAAAACTTTTGCCATAGCCCTGTTTGGCTTCCAAAGCAAGAATTGGACCTTTGTCGCTTTTTCCCCCGATCCATGCAATGAATTGGGAATCATTAAGCAACCACTGTCCAGTTGATGGAACTCGAGTTCTCATAAACTCTTCCTGATCGTTACGCCAAACCTCTTTCTCGATCTTGAGCGCGTGTTTAATTTTCTCACTATTCCGCGTAGACGCTCCGTCGGTTTCGTTCATTCTCTCTGTAAACTCCCGCTGCTCCAGATAATTCGAAACCCGGCTAAGTTGACCAGTCACACCATCAACCTTACTATTCAGGCTTTGCAACGATCCTTTTGTTTCTGCAAATCCAGTGGTGACATTTCCCTCTGTAATTTTCGCGGATTCTAGTGTCAAGGCAACGCCCATTCCGGTTTCACGTTTCACAAGCGCCTCGAGAACATCGAGCTCTGCCTGGACGCCCTTGTCGCTTCCGAAGCTGAAGACCTCCAAGGCTAGCAATAATTTATTTTCCCTCGAAATCTTTATCGATAAAGCACAGATCCGCATGAAACTCCGGAGAAGTTCGTGAATTATTTTTCTTAGGTGAATATCCAGTTCGACACCCAAGGACTTTGACCTCACGTAGACTTCGAAACGCTCGAGGAAGTGAGAGATGCGTTCAAAGAGTTCGGCAATTCCACTAAAGATCTTGCTGTAATTCTGGGCAACAGTAATAAGATACGAAACGGCATTAAAACAGAGATCGGACGGACCGAACACCTTGGAGATGAAGGCGGTAAAATTAGAGACGGTTTTCCAAATTGAAGCACTGATGTTAATATGGCCAATGAGCTAGATCTGCATACCATCGACGCGCCTTGGGCTACAAGACTTCCTAGTGTCTGAATGCAGGTTAGGGTCTTATTCAGAACTTCCTTTGCCTTGCCATGTTTTGCAGCTTTCTTGTCGTCGAGCTCCTTCTGCTGGTTGATCTTTCCGATCACGTCGCCGATGCTGAGTTCGGAAAACTTCTGAGGATCGTGGCCACTGAGCTTATGGAATTCAACCAACGCTTCCCTCCACATCTGCTCGATATCCTGTCCATCGTATTTGACGCCTTCCATAGCGGGGTTTGAGGGAACTAGCTATATCAAAGCAGCTAATTGCGCTGCAACAGCATCTCGAATGCGAAATTATATGCCTGGCAATTTGCGCTCCCGCACTGGGAGTGCGTGCTGTTTTGTAGGGCATTGTGGGCGGATGGCTGCATGCCAAACAATTTAGCTCGGCTGGCCTCTGTTGACTCCGTCTGAATATGATTGTTCTTAGTCTGATTCCCTTGTTCGACCGTGAATGCGCGGCCCAGTGGTACTATTTATGGGATTTCTTGGATCTTGGAGCAAAGATGATTGGCAGACACGATGGAAATTGCTTGTCGGAGGTTGCATGACTAAGAAACTTTAATTCAGCCGCTTATATAGCGCCTTCGCATCGCGAGTGATTGTCACTGCTATGGCAAACGCTCCTTCAAAGCAATGTATTTCAAGTTCAACTGCAGCAGATGCATGAGGAAGTAACATCAGGTTATTACGGAAAATCTCCGTTTCAGCTTATCATTTATTATGTCTCTACAGTATTACAGAAATCAGCTTGAACTTGTCACCTTAGACGATGGGACGATGCAGCAAGTGCTTTACAAGCTGCAAGGGGCCGTAAAGCGGGCCACCGGTATTCTCAAGGAAAAAGTCCCTGGATCCCTTCCCGAGAATACAATTGCGCCTGGCACTATATACAGTGGGATTCTTGGTATGTGTTTATACGATCTTATCATTGCACAGGAAGTAGCTGGAGTTCAACTTTGCCAATAGGAGTTGCTCTTATGTTTCTCCGCCTTGAGCAACAAGCGAGTTATGTTGAGGACGACGATGAAATTCTGCATCTTGCATCTGAATTCCATGAGCTGGCCTGTTCAAGACTTAGCTATAGTGTTCCAGAGGACATTCCCTTGAGGCCTGGTCGATTATCCCCGCTTGGATCAGCATCTCTTGGTGCTTCCGTCCTCCGAGTCTTTGCTGGTTTGGCTCGGCCTACTAGGCAAAAGGTGCCTTCCCATGACATTATCATGCTCCAACGCACTACTGAGTTCGCGATCAAGCAAGGAACGACCGTAGGTGGTGATGAAGCATTATACGGACGTGCTGGCGTATTGTTGGCGCTTTTGCAGATTCGACAACAATGCAAGGACGATGGAAACACTGCCGCTTTCACCGCCGCTTTCACAATGATCCCAAGGCTTGCAACTGTTATCATAGAGACAGGGAAGGTGGGTGCTAGTGATTACAATGATTTATACGGAGGGCAGGATGCCCTATCTCTTATGTGGCCATGGCATGGTAAATACTATCTCGGAGCGTGAGTTTCTTCCGATTTTCCTTCCACTCTAAACGGTACATCCGGCCTTGACTTCTTTTTATACATGCAGAATCCATGGGATAAGTAAGCAGTCTCCCCAGTCTGGTAGGAGAAAAGTAGAATAACATGGATATAGCTGGTATTTTGTCCATCCTTCTCGCCTGCAAGCCTGATGAACTTAACGATGGCACCATTAACCACCTACCTATTATTGCTGAAACTATAAGTGGGCTCTGCAAGCTTACTATCGAAAACGCTGGCAATCTCCCATCCTCGGTTCCCATCCGTTCATCTTCCCTTCATGATCCTTATGTACAAATCTGCCATGGTTCCCCAGGTCTCCTAATCCTGTTGGCCCAAGCGGAGAACAACATCCACCTAATGCATTCATTTTGGGAACCAGACTGGGATAAAGCAATCCGGCTTGGAAGTGAGCAAGTGTGGGAACGCGGGTTACTATTCAAAGGGGGAGGATTATGCCACGGCATCGCCGGGAATGCGTGGCCTTTTTTATTATTATACAACAGCTTTGAGTACGGGAAGGAACGCATCGCATTAGCGAGGCGCTCGTTCAAAGAGAGAACCGGCTCAGTCGCTTCTGTAGAGGAGCAACTCACACCAGATTATTTCCTGTCTAGGGCGTTGACGTTATTACTCTACGCACGAAAAACGCCACCTTTCCATCGCCGTGAATTCCGTGACGAATGTGAATTTCGCATGCCGGATACTCCTTATAGCCTTTTTGAAGGACTAGCGGGTACCTGCGCTGCATGGGGTGAAGCTTGTGTAGTAATTAAAGACCGGTTGCGGCAAAAAAAATTGGATGACGGAGGGAGTTGTAGTCTGTCTGAAATTGGGGGAAGAGATGGACTACTTTCTAAGCACTTACTACATGAGTTGGGTTTTCCTGGGCTCACACTAGGAGGGTTATGTTGACTCGATTCTGGTAGGGCTCACCTTTCACAAATTTTTACTCAGATGATGGCTGTACTTCCAGGAGTCGCTACTACAGTTTAAGTACAATTTTGCTCCCTCTTTGTTTAAAATATGTTTTGGTGGCCCTGCTCACAAACATCGGTCTATAAGCGTCGATTTCAATAGCTTGACATTGTATCTACACCCAACTCCTTCAGCACTTGGAATGCATTGCTGCTAATACATTCAAATGTAATTTAAAATAATAGCAATTGTTCAAAAATTTCTAGGGTCTATCTATCATAGCATTCCATCCACCAACATGCATAGCGCACCCAAGGAAAAGGTATAAGGATATCATATACCATCATCCGGGTTTTCATCCGCCAGTAAGGCAGCATAATCATCCACAGACGCGAAAACAGGAAGATGCTTGAGTTTCTTCCTCTTCTGTCTACTCGTAGATTTGTTTCCTTTACCCGAAGTTTCAGCGAGTAGCTCTTCAACCCCATTGTCCAGATCAGAAGGCAAATCATCATCACTACCTCGGAACGCGTCTTCATCTGAGACGTCCATTTCAAGCGCATCTTCATCCATAAAACCTCCGAAACTGTCAATATCCTGTGCCGAATCCCTTCCACTTTGCTCCACCTCAACCTCTGGCTCATCACTCTCATCGTTAAATATTACCTCGGCTTCCTCGTCATCATCAAGGCTTTCCATATCGCCCATTTCAACGTCACCAAGCCCATCATCTTCTTCATCGCCCATGGCGGATGCAAAATCATCAATGTCGATACCATCCTCACTCTCACCCTCGCCCTCAAGTTCCGGTCGAGAATGAACAAGAGCCTTCCAAATCTCCGACTCAGCATCGCTCTCATCCTCACCCTTTTCTCGCGCACCTAGCTTCTTTTTTGACTTCTGTTTGCGCAGGTTATCCTTATCCATGCGATTGAAATACTCGTGGAAAAAGACATCTTCAGCAGCGACTTCGTCGCTTTGCTTTTTCCAGAATTCTTCCCTGTTCACTGGTTCATGGGCTTTGGCCATTCCTCCAGATGTGATTAATAAGCCTTTACTTTCGCCTCCAGCGAGCGGCTGCATAATGGAAGCTCCTCGCATTCTGGGAGTCGCCTTGGGATTGCGATAGACGAATCGGTCTAAGAAATGTGTAAGAGTATGAATAGAGAGATCCGGCTTGCCAGACATCGGTTCGTGGTGCAATAGATGCGAAGCATTGACAGACACGGAAGGATGGAAATGAGCAAGGTAAGGCAGCTATATTGTTTATTAGCGACAATCATCGAGGAATTTGGGAACGAAATTAGGACTACTTACTAGTTCCCAGAGACAACTTCTATCGGCGTTGCTATGTTCGGGGTCTCTTTTACGAGGGTCGTATCTATTTTCAACCTTCTTCCCTTCATCCACTGGCGTCTGGTCTACAGGTTGTTCTCCGTCCTCGGGAACATCTCTGAAAACCTCCTCATCGTCGTCTTCGATGTTCTCTGGCTCGTCCATGAGGGCAGACAGGTTGGGGAAAGCCTTTTCAAGTTCCCTTATTAAATAAAATACCCCGCAAATGAAAGGTGGGTGATGTAGTGATAGGGTTTGAACTAGTCTTTTCACGAAAGCCTTAACTCGTTTAACGTTGAAGTCAGCCTTCAGCGATTTATACAAGATATTTAAGTACATCGATTGCTTCGAAGATGTAGACAGTCGGGGGTCGAGTAGGGACTCGTATAGCGTTCGATAAAATCGATGCAACGACACTTGGTGAGACGACGACAGCTGCTGGATAAGCACCAAGGCTTGGATACTCGTGTTGAAATTTGAGGAATGAGTGATACGGAATAAGGTGTCAATATGCCTCGAAAGTCTGCGAGTAGAAAGGGAGGGTTAACATCAATGCTCAAAGAGAGCAGGATTTCGGATAACTTACTTTTCGACATCAGAGCTAGTAAACGGGTAAGCTCGATTGACTCCAGTCAAAACAGCAGCAGTCAACTTCTCATGCAGCTCAGTTTCCTGAGCCTGGCCTTTTGGGATCGCAGCGCCACCATGTCGCTTTTTAGATTTTGCATCGTGTTTCCCATGCTTACGTTCGGAGTTACTGGTCGAGCTCTTGGTTGGCTTCAATAGAGTAACGAAAAGAGCAAAATAGATATCGAGAAGTTTCGTTGCCACATTTTCTTCGCCACTTCTCAAGATGGTCTGATTGAGTGTGATAATTGCATAATACTTGGCGTGCTGGCTTTGCCCTGGGCGGAAAAGAATGTTGGGATTCGACAGCTGATATTATGTTGTTTCATAGGGGATGAGCTGCTCAAGTTGAAGTAGAAGATAGGACGTCCGTGAAGCTATCTTTTTGTTCGGATCGCCAAGCTTATTGACCAGGAGGCGTAACAAATTGGATTCCTGTTCCGGCTTCTCTTTCAGGAGCTCGTAAACGTAGCTTACTGCCTTGGATCTTGAAAACTCGATTTCATCGTTACACCAAATTTCGAGGATTTTCAGTACCTCAAAGTATTGCTCCTTTAGAAAGTCCTCGAAGGCCCAAACAATGAGGTGGCTGCGCTCCAACCCTTTTGGTAAGGGGTTGGAAGACGTCCAGTTACTTGAAACACCGTCGAAGGCAGACACCAACGCCGGTTGATTGATAAGTGATTTTAGTCTCCGATCGCTGGGGAGAAGGGTGCCTTGGGCAAATATATCTTTTAGAGATCTGAGAACCTCAATAGCTTGAGCTCGGCTTCGTTTTTTAGCCAGTCCAATAAGGTTCTCCAGTGCTCTTACATTGTGTAGAGGTGACTCTTGTACCGCAAGTGTTAACGCCGATACTTTATCACTCAAGGTCCCAGAGGAAACGATCGTGGAATAGAATTTATGGGATGAGGAGGATTGTTGTGAAGTTGCAAAGGCTTGGTTTTCCGAGTCAAGTAACGATGCAGCATATTCTCGAATACGATCCCAGATCTGTCGGGAGATGCCGCTACACTTTTTCGATTCGAGAGAGACTTCGGGCAAAGGTATGGAATACCAATCTGGTCGAGGGTCGATAGCCTACATCAAATTAGTTCTGAGCCAGATTAGAGAGAAAAGGAAAATAAAAGCTAACCAAGTTGGATGATCGTGTATCGCGCTGCTGCGCCAGCCTTCCAGGGACGGAGACCTCCTCCTGATTCGGGTTTGGCTTCTTCAGAGTATTTTGCTTTGGGGCTTCCTTTGATGGCTTGACCTGCTGGAGTGACTTGGATTCCTTTGCTGGCTTGGGATCAATGGGGACAATATCGGCAACCACAGCCTTCTTACTTGCAGGTTTTGGAGGTGGAGACGGATTATCCCCTTTCAGCATCTTTTCTATGTCATTGCGCAGAGTATGTTCATTAACCGCCTTCGCACTGTATTTCCTTGGGGTATCCTCAAAGATTTCCATCTCCGAATCGGATTCGACATCAGCAAGGAGATCATAGTCCTCCTTAGTTCCGCCGATGGCGTATATTTCATTTTCCAATAAGTTTCCATTTTCTCCTCTTTCGTCAAATTTGGACCTTGGCTTTTCCTTGCCTTCTTGAGGAGCTATTATTTCCCCGTTCCTGTCCCGTTTCTTCCCTTTTTTGTTGACGGCCTTAGGCTCTGATTGCGGGCCTGCATTTGTCTTCTGTTTCAATTCACTCAAAGACACCTTTTTATCCTTTTGTGACTGAGGTTCCTGGTCTTGGAAACCTTGTTCAATACGCCTCTTCAATTTGGCGAGGACGCTGAGAGAGAGGTCGGGAAGCGAATCTGCATTGAGAGTGAGGGGGTTTGCAGGCATTTCCGAAGCTGTATTCGGCACGCCATTTGCGGAGGAGCGTCTTTCTTTTGTCTTTGGCTTTCCCATTGTAAATCTGTGGCTGGATAGCGCACAGAACTGGCAGGTTATTTCCCCCTTCTGTATATTTCAATGTTGAGATGATTATTTTTTTTCTTTTTGATAAATGGTTTGCTTCGGGAATAGTTTTTCCGAGCCCCAGCAACGAGAATCAAAAACACTCAATTCAAGAACCCTATTAGAACTCAATTTATAGAACTATTATATCTAGCTATTTTCTTCTAAATTTTTCTTTTTCTTCTTTGTATACCCATATTGTGAATTTGTAATATTAAGTGCACGTTAAATCCGGGTTTCCATGAACAATTCATTTCTCTCAAGAGTCAGACATCTCCGTCAGGTCCCTCTCTCGTCATATTCGTACATTCAGCATAGATTACATGTATGTCGATTTGAAAATGACTTA